AATTCAAACCTTCCTTCAACCTTCTTCAGCTTGCTACATTTCATTCAAGAGAACAAGGACAAGAACACGATCTTGAATCCGTGTCACGTGTTCAGGTCGCCTTCGGTGTCAATCTCAGTAGCTGGTGACCAGCAGCTTCAGAATGACATGATGTAAACCTTCCGACCTTTAAAAGCTCTGTTCCGATGCACTGCACGGACTTGGACCGTGTCCGAGTCCGGAGTCGCGACACGTCTGCCCCCCGGACTCCCTGACCCAGCCGAAAGACTCCCAAGGGCGACAAGTCATTCAACGCTCTGATAGGGTGATGCCCTTTTGACGCATCGAGGACTCTACCTCGTTTTTTGTTAATAGATCAATCAACGGGGAGATCCAAACACAGCAGTTGCTCATAATATGACTTGATTTGGAAAAGTTCTAAACTATATACTATATATCTGAAGTGCTTTGGTGATTTGGATATGGAGTCATCAAACCTGCAGGCCTTTTCGTTTCGACCCAGAGAGCTTCTGGTTCTAGGGACATCAAACCTGCAGAATGTCCAGCAGTCCATGAGTGTCTTTGTTTGGTTTGCTGTTTCTTTTCGCCGGCATCGATGAGCTTTTGGGGCCATCTCCAGGCATAAGGGATTCTCCAGGCCTAGGGGATTGATCAACAGGTCGCTTGGTCGCTTGTCTTGACTTGATGTTCACCGTGCTCGCAGGTTGCAGCGGAACGCTTGGCCAAGAAGCCGACACCTGTGAAGCGTCCACTGGTGGCGGTCGTGGGGCGCCCCAACGTGCCTTGGCCAAGAGCTGGCATGCTTGGGGGATACCCCCCCCCATGTTGTTTGGATTTGTTATTTGTTTATTTTTTTGGGGCAATGATCTCCGTTCAAAGTTATGTTTTCTTTCAGGGGTAAATGCCTCCCCTTGCTCTCTGACATGTACTGTATATTGACTCTGTTTCATGGCAAGCATGAGGTATTGTGATCTCTTTACTCCTATTCAATACATCTATTTGGCGGATCCACGCAATAGTCACCTTATGTCAACTTGAATGTTCAAAGTCGGATCCACTGGGCAGGAATGACAAGGTACATGCAGTGTATATACACACATAAATACAGATATATATATATATACATAGAGTATATATATATATACACATACACATACATACAGTATATATATGTATGCAACTATGCCAGTCTACCGGGAGCTGAGTTGGGAGCTGCTCGCCCATCCTTTAACACTTTGGCCTAGATTTTGGACGTCACAAGCCAGTCCCTTCTTCCTTTTGGCAGTGGAACGCCTTCTTGAAGCCTGCGAGGTTGGTAAGTCCACTTTGGTGAACCGCATCTGCGATGTGCCTGACGTGATCGGCGGCATCACGCATGATGAAATCAGCGCCACCCGGCACAGAATGGGGCAAGGGAACTGAGTGAAGTGGGAAGACTGGAGTGAACTTTCAGGAAGAGCAGGCTGCAGGCTGTGTACTTTTTATTCCCCACACAGGTTTAACTACCTGTATAATGTATGGGGCTCTTACTCCTTTTAAAGGGTTGCATGCCTGGGCCGGATGATTTTGGCTCTGTCTCCGGGCTTGCGTTCCTCGGCTGATGTTTTTGCTGCCTACTCTGGGTACACTTGGCCGGATGTTTTTACACTTGTCTCCACTTGTCTCCCTGCCTGTCTCCTTGCTTGGATACTTTAGGCCGGATTACTTTGGATGCACTTGGCCGGATGCTTACACACTGCCACTTCCACTTGTCTCGGCCTACTCTGGATACACTTGGCCGGATCTTTTACACTTGCCTCCGCTTGTCTCCCTGCTTGTCTCCCTGCCTAGATACTCTTGGCTTACCCGTGTCACACTTGTCTCCACTTGTCTCCCACTTGTCTCGGCCTACTACTTGGCCGGATGTTCTTACACTTGTCTCCATGTGATGATTTTACACTTGTCTCCCTGCTTCTTGTCCCCCACTTGTCTCGGCCTACTCCCGATACACTTGGCCGGATGATTTTAGACTTGTCACCACTTCTCTCTTTGCTTGTCTCCCTGCTTAGATACTCTTGGCCGGCCTCCCACTTGTCTCCGGTGCGCCCATACGGAGCTGTAGGGTCGGCTCTGGGTGCGCTTGGCCGGACTACTCTGGACGCACTTGGCCAAAGTCATTTACACTTGTCTCCACTTCTCTGCCTGTTCGTCCCCCTTTAGTAAAAGCCGCTGCTTTTGCCGTGATAATAGCCCGGTGACTGTAAAAGTACCGCTGCTTTTTGTAGCTAATCTGAAGTTCGGGGCCCGACCTTTGGGGCCCAAGTGTTCTGGGCCCGAATCTTGGGAACTTCCGAGGCGCGATTGGACACCCACGGCATGAATGAAAACTTTTGCAACATATAGCACTATTATACTGACAGTAGTGGCGGCCCAAACTCTAAAACGAAGTTCGGGGCCCCAGCGTTCGGGGCCCGAACCTTTGAGAAGGGAGCGTTCGGGGGTCGAACCTTGTGAGCTTCCGGTGTCCGACTAGCACACCGCATGAAATGGAAACTCAATATACCAGAGGTCGCCAGAGTATTAGTAGCGCTTATGGTGGACAGAGTTGTCATGCTGCGGTAGTTATAGAATTTGTAACTATTAGAGAACTGATTTTTAAATCCGAAAAATAAGTTAAATGTAGTCGTTGTAGTGGTGGTGGGACATGCCATAGGCCATAGACTTCTAACAGCCGCACCCTGCAGCGGCGCCAGCGCCCAGCCGTCATCAACATTGGCAGCAGCACCCAGCCGCCACATTTGGGGAAACACATCCGGCCAAGTGTATCCAGAGTTCGCCAAAACAAGTGGGAGACAAGTGAAACAGGAACGGTTTGAGCCGTTGACTGTTTGACACCTCGTCTCTGTGGCTTACTTCATAACTGCACAAACTGTTTGGGGTCTACGCTGGTATAACTTTGATCAAACTGGTTTGGGTTTTGACTGCTTGAACCAACATGATCTCACCTTATGACTGCTGGAACTTCAAGCTTTGACTGTGGTTGGGACGCTTGGGACATCCGGCTTCTTGCGCGGCTCAGGGCCTCGAGCGTGTTGGAAGGCTTCTCCCAAAGCCATGCAAAACACCACGGAAACATGCGAAAGCACCATGCTTCAAAAGTAAGTCTCTTATAACATATTTGTATATCACCCAGGGAATGGAACCACCATGGATGGAAAGTGTCTTTATCGAGCAAACATGGTCTATTGAGGAGTTTCCACTACAATGCCAGCTCGAACTTCGTTTTACTGTAATTGTCTTAGAACTTTAGGGTATACTTTTATATTTCACGATAAACATTACAACATATATATATATATATATAAACGATCGAGGGCCGTCACTGTCCCGATCCCCGTTCCCCGTCCCGGCCGGGGCAGATCGGACCAGGTGACGCACGACCGGACCTATAAGCAGGCAGAGCACACGGACGATTGCGCCATGGCAGAGCACTTGGACATGTTCGTCTGAGTTTGATTGGTGGTTGAGTTGGATGCAGAAGTGAGGGCAGAATTCAAAAAAACGGATGATCAGAGTGAGACAGCTTGCAGGCAGGCTATGATCATGGCCCCATGGCCGACCAAAAGAAGGAGAGCTTGCTGTCAGATAGGAGGGAACCCCTGGCTATTTCCTATCCCAGGCACTTCTGCTTTGGGATGTACTGGGATGCTCAAGAACACCCAGAAGACCAGGGACGTTAGACCACAAGACTGTGATACCCGAGGAGTACTACACGACTGCTGACCATAAGACCTGTCCAACCACAAGACCCGCACCAGGATTCTCCAATGACTGTTAGCAGGAGACCCGCAAAAGAAGGTCCACAAAAGTTTCAAAGGAGGTGGCTACTCCACATTTATCCCCATCTTCCGTTCTTCATTCCCTGAATGACCTGGATTCTAAGATTCTGCTGGAAAAAGGCATCAGCCGTTCGGATCTTCGAGAGATTCGAAAAAGTGACCAGTTCATATGCAGCATGTGCATGCGGATCTTTTGCGGAGACACCAATCTCTTCGAGGCGGAGACACCTATCTCTTCGATGTGGTGGATGCTGGCGGCATGGTCTTCGAGGATTCCTTAGTGTCTCGACATCCACTCGTCGCACCTCTCGGAAGCCAAGCTGTTGAGGATTCGCAGTGAAGAGTCATGCGGTGCACCGTGGTGAAAATTGTTGTAAACGTGTGTTAACTGCGAGTGGTTGGGGTTATGCACAATTCGCTGTTGACTGTGGCAGAAGCAGTTGGGTTAAGTCGTCTGGTCTTGCCGAAAGTCATTTGGATGTTGCGTTTCCATGCGGTTAGATGCAAGATAACAGTTCAACACCACATATGAACACAGGTTGATAAGACACCATTTGCTGGATTGTATCAAGAACAGGTTTATTTGGAGAATCAAGAACAGAACCAGCACTTCTTCAACGTGCTGTGGTGGTTGTGGGATTGCTCAAGTTCTCTTTATAACTGGGCTTGCGCACTCGCACCAGCCATGTTCCTGCCAAAACTTGTCTGTAGGGTTGTAATCCTCATGGCACTAAACTTGCGTTCTCATTGGGTTTCGGTGCCCCAAAAGCCACAGAATTCGACACACATCTTGATTGTTGGTCTGCACGGGCAATATATCATTATCGATGTACAACACGTTCCGCACACATACTTCCGCAAAGCGTTTCCATGGTGTTGCAACATCCAAACGCGGGTGACTTCACCTGGGTGCTTCCCAGGGTGGCCAAGGGCGGTTTGTTCCCCCCCCGAAGGGTCCGAAAGGGTGTCCCGTTGGACCGATGCCCTTTGCTCCTAGTAGCTTCTTGTTACTACTAGTAAGGCACTTGTTACTACTAGCGTGGCACTTGTTACTAGTAGCGATGCCCTTGCTACTAGTAGCTTCTTGCTACTAATAATGGACAAGATGAAGATGGGGTCGAGAATATGAATGACATTGAGGAAAATGGCCGGGCGTTTCGCGCCCGGAAACTCGCTCCTTCTTCGTGAAAATCCAACTATATATCCCGGTCTTATGGTTGGAATTCTTCCAAGGCCGGGACTGGGAACATTGCTTTTCCTCAAGTTCTTCATCCACAGGTTTCACAGACACCAATGGACACCCAAAACGCAAAGGAGGAGGTACACGCACCGACCAGGAGGAGTTCCTTGGGATTGGCTTCATTGCATCAATGGCGCTCCAGTCTTTGGGATGCAACCGCCCAGATGGTCTCTCCTCCTCACCCGTTCGGCCTTTGCGCTCGCTGGTTCTGTTTTCTCGCGACCACTCGGGGTGCCGGTGTTTGAGGAAACGGTGACCTTTCAGAATGAGATCAAGTTCCAGATTGATGTGGCCCTGCGCGAGGCCTGCGCTGCAGCGGCTTGGAGAAAAAGGCCGAACCAACAGATCCCGGCCTGGCCCACGTTTGCAACAAAGAGGTGTGCCGAATTCAGGTCGGCAGTAGGCGACAGAATGAGTTCCAGGAATTATTCGGAATCCCTGGAAACCGAACAAACACACACGTATTATGCAGCAATATAGCACCTCGACCATAACATATTGGGATAGATGGGAGAGTTCCTCGCACATGGGGGGACCTGGGGAGTTCATGACGAACCGCCGACCGCCCCCGGTGACCGGTCGACCGGTCGCCGAGGTCATGGTGGTGGATGGCAACGTGGGCGTCACCAGCGACCACCTCAAAGTGGCAGAGTCGCGCGGTTGCGGAGCATGAGAGCGGAGTGGCAGTGGTTGGCCGAGGGATTTGAGACTGCGGAAGGGTGGGAGGCCGTGTGACTTGAAGTTGCGAGCTTTAAACATATCTATATATAATGTATAGATTTCCGGAAGAGATGGACAGACGTTGGAGATTTCGCAGAGTGCACCACCCAAAGGGTGCTTTAACCCCTCCTCACCATGATCAGTATATTAAAGGTCGCAGCACTAAGTAGGTTAAACTATGGAATCAAATTGGAACAAGTATATCACAGCCGGAATGGCTAATTGTTGGTTGAACTTATTGTTTTTAACAAGATCTTGACTAACAAGGTTTACCAGGTTATTTTTATCAGAACGAATTTAAGTTTTTACACACGGGCATATATTGATTTTCATGCAACATGAAGTGGATCAAACAAATGCATAATTCCTACCTCTTCCCTGCTAATCGTCCCGTCCAAATATATGATAATATAGGCGATAGTTGAGGTGCCTGTAGCTTGAGGTTTCCAAACCTTATAAGACTTAGAAGTCCAAAAACAACCATCGTTGTGGTTAACTGAGCTGCTCTCTCCAGCATGGTTGAGGCTTTCTGAGCTGCTCTCTTTCAATCTAATACTCATGCAGATGCATTCGACATTTCTCGACCACTTTCTTTCTACTGTCGACCACATCGGGGTCTCGTTGGGTCCTTTGCCCATGTGAAGCAGGGCAGGTTGATCGAAGGAGATTGTTCCAGTGGCCGAAGTCGTTGCATGTCCATCCTTCCCAAGAAAACTCAGCCTTCCCAAGAAACGGAGTTCTTATATGACACATTATGGAACTATATAATTCTTTCTTCCTTTCGGATTCTTTCTGGGCGTTCAGATTCAGTGGATACTGGTTCCTTTGAATTCACCCAAAACGCCCCCTGGCCAAGGCATACAACGGCTGTGGGTCAAAACTTGGAGCCCATTTCACCTATAGGTTGACTTTCCGGCTAGGCCATTCGGTTCATTTTCTGTGGGTCGGTTTTGACCCACACCCGGAAGTGGACCGTGAACCATCGCGAACCCTGGTTTTTGCGGAGAAAGGATATGTCGTGTCCCGGTTCCTGGTTCTGCAGGGCAAGATGGTTCTTTCCGTTCCAAAACCAGATCCAAAGTCAGCCCCTGGAAGGCCCCTGCTAAGGCCCCATGTCTAACTTCTGTTTGTTTGGGATTGCGAGACTCCAAGTTGTTTCAGACGTCGTCTGTTCCAGTGTTTCACCAAATCGGGCTCTGGCTCTGGGGCTCTCATGGGGTCGATCCCACTCACCTCTCCTGGACGATCGCTTCATGTAGACTCGATATTTCAACCCCTTTTAGACATGGATTGTAAAACAAGTTGAGATGGGGAATCTCACTAACTAGCCGTAGCTAGCCATTCTCTATTGGAACATGCAAGCCCTGGGGCCCTTGACTGAAGGAGTGTTTACTTGACATTGAGTAATATAATCATTGTAATCATTTTTGCCATTCATTACAAGTCGTCTCAAAGAAGGGCCCTTTACATTTTTTTGGTCTTGGGTGCGATAGCTCATACTCTTTTCGGTTTTTGATGTCTCATCTCCCTCGCTGACCAAGATCAGACAGCTGGCTTCACATCTGGCTCTTTCAGTGCATCATCCGAGGTATTTGAAGAAGACCTACATCAGCAAAGGCACTGCGGGAAGGATTCTGGAACCTGCAATTGTATAAGCTGAGGGTGCCTTCATGCTTCCTGGACTTATAGAAGTTGTGCACCAGTAGGCTCGTTCCCGCACGTTCCATGGACATGCCCCGAAAGCCCAGCATGGATCTGAGGGGACCCTAAAATCCGAGAACAACAAGAAAAGGGTTGCTATGGCTATGGGCGAGGCAACCATGTTATTCAAACACATACAAATATACACGTATATTTTACTGTATAGATATAATATACATACCAGCTTTGTCAGGGGTGATTAAACATGTTTAACCCACGTGACCAATCAATTTTTCTCCGGGTTGCAACTTTCCATCCAATTTGTGCTTTGGCACTCCTGGCTTGGCTTCGATAGTTTGAGGATAGTTCATCTCGCTCAGTCCGGTGAACACCCAGTCTAGTAACACCTGGCGAATCCGTGTAAAATGTGGTGGACTCTCAATTGACTCCGGTCGGAAACGCGACCATCCGAGCAACGGAACCCTTCATCAAAAGGCTGGTGTTATTCTGCTCGCGGAGGATCTTCCGGAGCTGAAGATGTGAACGGACAGAAGGGGAGACTCCTCGAGCGCTCAACATGACGGTAATGATAGACATCTTGCCTGGTGCAAGAACATGTCCTTCTGCTGGGCTTGGCACTTGTTTCATCTTGTTTCTATCCCTCTCTGTTCCTGGAAGATCTACTGAAGATGGGCTTCCAACGGGCTTCCCCTATGTGACACAGTCTTGCTTGGGTCCGGCCCACCTCAGTGCCAGGCCGTAGCACAAAAGCGAAGACGGAGACCGTGCATTTCTGGTCATTTCCCGTGTTCATTTCAGCAAATATCGGACATCCATGGCACAGAACTACTACAGGCACTTGGAAATGACCAGGTCCACAGGAAGTGTTGATACTCACACCCAACCCAATCGTTTCTTTCTAGCGCAGGCCAACACCAATGTTCAACACTTATCCAAACCTTGGAGTCAACCAGTCAACCTCAAGCAACAAGCGCATCGAATATCACGTTCCCTGCGCCCGTGGCGTTTTGGGGCTTCGGCACAGCCAAGCTTGCCGGGCACCCGTGCACCACCCGAAAACGGCCTGGTCCGCGAGGGAACCCGCTGCGAGGCCTGCGGGTGGTTCTGGCCGTGGCCAAGTGCGATCGTTTGGAGTCCATGGACATCAAGGCGCGATCGACACACCGAGCGACACGGTCGACACATGCGCTGCGCGCTCGAGTCAATCAGTGTAACACGCCTTGGTGGTCGCCGTTCGCGCCGTGTTCATCGTCGTTCATCGGAGGTTTTGGGGGGTTCGGAGTTGGGAGGAGCGAAACATGGAGCGTCCGCTGCTGTGGGAGGTTGTGAAACATGGGGAGGAACGCGGCTGGACAGTTGATGAACATGACCAGGACACGTGTCGAAAGGACACGCGTGGTGCATGGACGTTGTGCGGTGCAGGGAGTCTACTTGCCCGAAAGCCTCCGAAGATGGAGAACGAAGTGCCAGAAAGTGAAGACCTTTTGGCAAGTGTCCATCACATCCCCTGGCGGGCCATGAAACATGATACTGTTGGGAGATATCTATAGAGTGTATATCAGAGATAGTCACGTGCAGTCATTCATGCGGCATCACTTTTTGTGAACCCCGGAATGGGATTCAAGAGCCCAGAGCTTTTTGGCTGTAGCTATACCTTCCAGAAAACTAGTGCACTCTGAAAATAACTCAAACAGCACCTTCTCGTCTGGGTCTCAGATGCTTGTATCGCCTGCATCTTTGAGTGGCTCAAACCACTGGGGTGCATCAAACCAAAAGGTGAGTGGCATTTCCAGTGAGCCGAAGCGGCGCGATCTTCCGGCGATCATGGGATGTGTCAGCAGCACCGAAGGTGTATTGCAAGGCCGGGATGGATGGAATGGCAAGACTGCAAGACATCGCCAGCCCCTACCACGAGCCAATCCTACCGGTCCAAAATGATCCAGTAAAGCCTGGTCCTCTACCCCATTGAGTAGTGTGTAAAACCAACTCCAGTAAAAAGAACTGAGGTCCGACAGACCCGTCGGGCAAGGATCAATGCTATACCATATAGTGTTTTGGATGTGATCCAATGTTTCGTCCAAAACACCGGGCGCCCTGGTCTAGATCGGCTCATCCACCATGACATCCCATATGACCGATTCATCGACCAGCCCGGCACGTCTTTACTTCGGGCAGGCGTTCGTTTCCACGGTCGGTCACTGCGAGTGCGCAGTGGCGAGTGGCGAGTGGCGAGTTGCGCTCGACGCGCTCGACGCGCGTCGCAGGCACCGAGGACTCCGAGTTTCACACCGAGTACCAGGACTTCGAGCAGCTCTCAGTCCACGCCCAGGCGGGTGGGATCCGCAGGGGGTTCTGCAGGGATGCACAGGGCACCGGGATGCAGGCCGAAATGGGCCGATTTTGGAAGGGTTGTCCTGGGATTGAAAGGGTGAGTGGAAGGAGATGGAAAAGGAATTTGGCCGTGATAAGGTGAGAATGAAAGAGGTAGTCGCAAGTCGATACCAGTTGGTCAAGGTAGGGGTAGGGCAATAGATGTTCATATGATTTAACAATAGAATGGTAATGTGATGTTAGCAGATGTCTTGAAAGGTGAAATTGTACACCACCTGAGATACACAAAAGCCCTTTTTGATTGGAGATGTCTCCTCTGGGCGATGCAGAATTTTCTCCCAACAGCAGTACATTTGAACTGAAGGCAGAGTTTCAATAGCATTTCTTGGACGCCCGGGTCGACCAGAGGTCATGCAGGTCGAGCAGGTCAACCAAGTTCGATCTCCACCCCAATCTTCCAAGATTATGGGTCACGGTCCAGTATCATCTGCCGCCGCTTGTGATTTCTTGGTGTCCACATCCGAATACCCAGAGACTCTCGCCGAGTTACTCCGAGATGTTTCGATCTGAGGCGAAGGTCTCCAAGATCTCTTGCCCAGACTCCATCTCTACGCGGGACTCCAACACCGAGCATCCTGACCTCTCACTGAGTGCCCCACTCGATGTCACCAACTTGCGCGATGCGAGTGAGGGGGCCTCACCCGCCACGGAGCTTTCTCCGCTCCGGAGAATTTCATGGGCAGATGAGGACGAGTCAGAGGCGCCGATGAGAAGAACCCGGGCGGCGCCGCGCACCGGAGGGTTTCGGAGTCCAAATGCGAGTGATCGGACCAAATGGCACATGCGTTTGGGGCTGTTTTTCAAAGGGGGCTGTGTATTTTAGATCCAGGAGACCCCATGGCCCAATAGCTAGACGGGTCCATAATACGTAGACGAATCTATTTCCCTTCTTCCAAGGGCATCAAACTGGTCCCTATTTTAGTATTTATACCTAGAGGACCAAGTGACATACAAAATTCTAGTACGCAGAAAAAGTAGTACGAATTCTTGAACTCTGGTCGATCTGAAGAAAAGTGGTCGAGCCCCAAAAAAGTTGTCGAATTTATAGGTTCCTTTCTTGGAAAGGATGAGGTTCAGGACCGTTGACCCGTCACATGCAGCGAACGCACATCGAGCTGGTGAACGTCACTTTCCACTTCGTCGATCTTCGTCGGGTCCTAAGCTGCCTTGGCTTTGAGGTAAGAGACATGAAACTCCTTGGCCCACTCTCTTCTGTAGTATCCTAGGCAACGCCTGATCGTGTGACCAGCGCAACTCAACACGTGTGATCTTCTTGACACACGTGAGATTCTTCCTATAAAATCCTCGTCCGTCCACGTGCAGTGGACAGACAAGTTTTCGATGGCCTGACACTGCTCATTGGCCAGGGCATACTGGATGTCAAGCCTCGGGCTGGCTGACAGGGGAAGTCGTATTGGCAACAGCTTTGATCCAAGGTTCTATTCCATATATACCACTTGACTGGCTGTGTTCGATTGCTACTCTTTGGGCCTTGCCCCTAGTGATCCTTAGTGAATACAGCGATGCCAAATCCTATTCAACTACCAAGGGGCAGTAAGTGACAGAACATATGAAGCTTGGGCCGGACATGAAAGCCCATCACTCCACGCCTGGAGCACAGGCTTGCCAAAGTGGCGTACCCATCCTTGGCATGGGTTTAACATGGTTTAACCCATATCATTATTCTCATGTATGGAGAAGCAGAGGAAAGATGTTCTGGCTACCACTCATAACGTAAAAAAGTGTTTCTTTTTGTTGCGGGCGAACTGCAACAAAGGCCCAGCCGTCTCGGACTACAGCTTTGGCCTCCTCTCGGGTCAGCCATATCCCACGTCCATACACAGTTCGCCAGAAGCGGTTGCTCGCAAAGCAACTCCAGTGTAAGACCTCCATGATATCCTTGTAGCCATCCTCCTAGGCGACACACTATAACCAGCATGCCCTCTTTCAAAAACAAGAATGTGTTGCGGCGACAAACCCCGCCTAGCAAATAAGGAACCTAAACCATCTTGGAAATGGATCCAAGCGTCTACCCTGGTGAGGTCCATTTGCTGGAGCTCTTCGCCAAGCCAGGATGACACGACTGCACAGTCGTGGCCTTTGCCCAGACCGCGTGGTGAAGCGCGTAGCCTTGGACAATGGGAGAACAGGAGCTATTAAAGGCACCCCTTTTGGCTTAACCCATGACATTCAAAGATGATCAAAGATGTATAGCTAACAAATCATAAACGGGAAGCGATCCAACTGGCAGCTTGAAGGTTTTGTAGCTGAACTCATGTATGCTAGTCGTTTTTCCACGGGCGTCCACATAGGCCATAAAGCGGGCATATGCATTCTCAAACCTGGCCTCGTTTTTTCCACCTCCAAACCAGCCCATTAACATCAACTGTACAATGGCGCTTGCGCAGTAGTTCTTTCCAATGCCGTCGATGGCAAAAGTGTGTGCTGGGTCGATCCGTATGTATTTGGGGTTTCCAGAAAAGTTTCTGAGATCTTGTAGTGGAGAACGTTCAGCTTTGAAGGGGTTCGGGTTCACATCCGCGGCGTTCAAGTTCTTGACGGCTCCCTTGACATCCCACCAGTCCTCATCAACGGTGATGGCTATTCCAAGCGTGATCATAGTCGGATGCCAACAGCCCAAAAAAAAATAAAATTTAAGGGAGTCTGTAACCATGCCTAGGGTCGCGGAGTTTGCACCGATGACACTTGTCAGAACAGTTGTAGCCGCAATTTAGATTCATGCTGGCCCGTAAGAATGGCCAATCCCCCTTCAGGCTCACCACCTGGAAGTGCCACTTGTAGATCTTGCCATGCCAAAGAACCTGTTGCTTTGAGAAGTCGTCCCAGAAGAGGTTTGCTTGAAGATGTTGCCCCAAACAAGCAACTCATGTAACACCCAACTCAAAAATCTAAAAAAGGGAAAACTTCTAGCATTGTGTCTTGGGACAGTTATCCCATCTTCGCTCATGATGTTGAGGTCAACGACCCAAGCTCGCAGCAAATCAAACAAGGAGGCCCGGGAATATGGGGCAGGAAGGATGCTGTACAATAGGCGTGTGCAAATGCTTGGCCTTAGGCTGCGTAGTGACATAGTGTTAGACATGGGTGGGGGTAGCGTGACAAAACCACCGCACTTACAACAAGGACCGGGTTCTAAACCAATAAGTAAAAACATTGCACACTTTAAGGCTGAGAGGCCCGGCCATGTTTGTTTTGCCAGGGCGAAGAGGGAGTTGACACTGGACAGACATGACCATAACCGGCTGCTTCAACCGGCCTCTTCCTTCATCCCCGTGTAAGCAAATTGGGATCGTGTTTGTCCACCTTGAAAAGGGCAGGTTGAAGTCAGGATGGTTCTGTGAAAACTTCTGCCAATAGTCGAGCAATTCATTCGAAAATTGGTCTGCGCTGTCGAGGTCTTTCCCCTGCAAAAAGAAATGGCCACCGTTGTTGAAGCTTGTCTCTGCCCAGCTTGAAAGATGTAGGACAGGATGCTGCACTGGAACCTTGTGTGGCCGCCTCCTCGAAAGTCTAAGCTTAGTCGAGACGGTTGAGATTTGAACCGGCAGTCTCTTCCCAAACTTCTTGATGGTCTGGTGGAGGTTCCGGCATATATGAGGGTCGGTCTTAGACTTCCCGCATTTTGCAATCTTGGACAAGAGGAGGTCTGCCAAACCTTAGTTATATGTTGAAAAAGAAGAGTGGAACAGCGATGCATGATCCCAACTGTATACGATCAACACTGCATCGACCTTTTTAAGACACGAGATCGGATCATGATTCTAGGCCAAGGGGCCCTGCTTCTGAAGCCGATTGTTGGCAACCGTGGCTAGTCGAACCACCCGTGATGCTGATTCAGCCTCAGCTCAACCAGTGGTTTTGATTGACGGTTATGGTGCAGTTATGTGTTGTTCAAAGGTCAGCTATCGCAGCAACCTTTTTGCCCTTCAGATCGACAGGAAACCCCAAACCTCCACACCACCATGCACAACAAAGGGGCTCCTTGTTCGAAACCAACCAACAGCTCATCTGCCAGGTCTGCATCCTCTGCGCTCAATCCTGACGGCGCGGAGTCCATGTACAGGCTGGGTACGGTATGGATCTAGAGTGGGTGTCCTGGTGCACAATCAGCGCGCCGCTTGATGAAACTTCCACGTGAACAGCCTGCGAGGGGAACTTATAAGACTTGAAGTTGCATGTCCAGCAGTTGATGACGGGTTGATGGTACTGGTTCTAAGTGTCTTTTAGTTTTTTGTCGACCTCGATTCACGCTGCCCCCGTGACATGCGCACATGTCGATCCCCACGGGTGTTGCCATACCATCTACAGCCTGCCACTGGACCTAGTAGGTGAACAGCTAGCTTTGTATAGGCATGTGCCAAAGAACAGACACAAGTACAGATACAGCATGTATACATATATATGTATATATATCTTAATGCGGCTAGATCTTAAGTGACGGCTGCGGGCAACTGATCCCAACACAAATCAAAAATGCCAACTTCTGTTGAGTTGGCCATCTAGGCATCTGCTTTTTCTGCAGACTTGGGACCCTTTTTCGGATTCTTAGCAGGCTTCGCCGGCTTCGCCGTCTTGGGACCCTTGGACTTCTTTCCTTTGGCAGCACGTTTTGGCGCTGGCTTTAGGCCACCAGAACCAGATGCATTGCCTTTGGCTGCTTTGATCGTCCTGCCAGGCAAGCGGAGGCCAAAAAAGCTATACTTTTTGGGCCGGGGTCCTGGCACGTACTGTGAGGTTGTTCAGTGCCACATCGGTTCGAGTGCATGAGGCGCACAACTGTAGCATATCTTTTTGCTGGTCAGGCCTCGCAGCCCAGGTAATTTAAAGAAGTGGCGCTAGTGGTATGCATGTAAGAAACGGGTGAGACATGCATAGACATGCAGAGCCTGGCAACACGTGCCACCGCCACTTCAGCTTGAAGTGCTTCAAGCTTTGAATAGAGGGTCTTCATTGAAGCAGCGTGAACTGAGATTTGGTCGCAGTACCTAGGCTACTGACATTAGCAAACTTCCGGCCACTCCGCTCTGGGCAGCTCTGAGGACATCTCAGGACAGGGCTCCTTTGCTTGCTTCGTCCCAATGGTGTTCAACTTGTCCTGTGGTAGACTAGGGTACCCATATGATTGTGTTCAATGCATGCAAGTGGTATTTTTAGGAGTGGGGCAGTCCAGCAGGGCTTCTGTGGCATCAAGCTTTCTTCCGCACACCGATAGGAATTGGGGAAGGATTGCCATGGGCGAGGTGTTCTCTTGAACGCTCGGGAAAACCAACCTGAGCACGGCAAAAATCTAGAATGCATGGTGACATTAGAACTTGATAGCGGCCATGTGAATACCTCTACATCTAAGTAGCTTGAATGACCCACTGCCGGCCAATGTCACTTCTGCAGCTTCGGAAGACTTGGCACCATGTGTGAGGAACTCATCCGTGGACCCAAAATCCGGGATACCATTCGAATTCATCACATCACCGCTGTCATCCTTAGACCGCTGAGTATACGCCAGGCACACACATGCATTTAAAATAGCTCGATCTATACTTGTGGGTCATGTGGACAAACACCTGCTGACATGATGCTTCTACATCCATGCGAACCTGCTGCGTGCGGGCGGTGCCCTGTTCTTCCCGCATCTGGAAGGTTTCGCCAACAACTAATTTGGCTTCTTGTTCCTGATGCATGGGGTTTACCCTGAGAAGGCCGCGGGCGCCGGCCCACTCGAAGGCATTATCTGCCATCTTCCTGAGTCCGGTGTAGCACAACAAGTCTTCTTAATGGCATCTGTTGAGAGAAGCTTCCACTCGCTAAGCTGAGGTCTTTGTCCAATGTTCTGAAGTCATCAAGTAATGCTTGGTAACCCAACGTGCATCCTTTGATTGCACATGTGTTGTTGTAGCATACTTTTGCACTTGCAATTCCACCACTGGGAATTCCATGCCGTTGTCCTCATAAAATTCTCTGATCTTGGCCCCTTAGCGCCCGGCCAGAAGGTGCAAAAAGTCCAGCTGCGTGCGCAAAGTGGGCATGCAAAAAGTAAAACTATATTACGCTTAGACACTCCCTTCACGAGTCTGAAACATCTTCACGATCTCACCCGAAGCTTTCTTAGACTTGCAATATCGCCTGATCCTTGGGCACAAATTTAGCTCAAGCAATGACTGGGACTTATACATGCATGATCATGCATGCGCACACGCAATACGAAGTGCATCCCAATGACCTGAAGAATGTAGCATCCTTCACCTCTGGAACCCTTGCAGGCTCCCCCTTCGCCAGAGCACCGCTAGCAGAGCTTGAAGGATGTTCACATGGAATCCCTTGGCCTGGAACCTTTGGCTTGGGGCCTCCCGGACATGAAGAGCTCACATCTGCAGCAATCCCACCTCCTGGAAACTCAGGCACCTTTGGCCCCGCTGGCACAACTGTCGAGGGCGGGCAAGGTGAAGCATTCCCGAGGGTTGGTGGATTCGGGGTTGGTGGTTTGGGCAAGCTTTCCAAAGGGGCATCCTTGCTTTGCGAAAGCTGGGTTTCCTCCACACTTGGTACGACCTCATACGGTATGGTTGCCTCACGTCGCAAGGCAGTGTCCGGCGTGTCCGGTACAGTATGGACACTGTCAGGTGTTTTGGCGTCGGCAACAAATTTCCCATCGCTCGTGGCAATAATAGGAGCACCTCAGCTCAGGCTATCATGGTACCCTGTCTCAAAACATGTCACCAAAAAACAACCCATGCGCATGACCCATTATATCATGGCACCTTCGACCATGGAAGGCTCCCGAGAAAGCCGGCTTGGCTCTGTGCCATCACGGAGCGCCGTTTGCAAGATGTCAATCTTTTCCTGCTGTGCCTGAGGCGCGCTGGCCAAGTAGGAGATAAAAAGGTTTCCATTAATGTCAAGCAACTGCATGATCGACTCTCTATTTGGCCAATGTGCTCGAATCAGCTCATCAAAATCAACATCCATTGGCCCCGGTGGTCCCATCGCTTTGGTGTCAAGGAGATTGGTGCCGTCCACTAGCGTCTCAAGAGAGCACATACCAGCTACCCAAGCTACTTGCAAGTTTGAGATTGCAAATGCCACTCGATCAAAACCAGTTGGAAAAATAGAAATCGGTGACCAAAATCGGTGAAATCGGTGGAATCTATCGGAGCGGGTTAGCAGAAAAAAGGCAAAACTACTAGATTTTAAAAATTGCGTCGAGTTGCGGATAATTGCGCCCGAGTTGCGGAAAAATTGTGGAAAGTTGCGCATCACTTTTTCCACCATGTAACTAGCGGAATGTCTATGATCACCACAAATTCCGAATTTTCCGATTTGTTCGGATCCGAACACTAGTTGGCACTCTCCGCCACGAACCGAACCCGCCCGAATCAGGGGCCACCGCAGTCTTCAGCTTGAAGCAAGGCCTTCTCCTTGGAACGGGGCAAGTGCGGCCAATGTCAACAGCGCGATTCGGAGTCATTGATCGAATTGATGGGCATGTAATTTAATTCTAGGCACCCATTCCACTGCCAATTGCTCCATGGCTTTCCGATATTGATCAGGGATCCTCCAAGGAATTGAAAACTATAGCGCGCCCTATTGAAGATCGATCATGGACCAGGACCATGCATGCGGTGGTCCTTGTGTATTTGGAAGCCATGAGCTTGTCAAAGGCTGGCTTCAAATTAGCTTCTGGCCAAATATCCCCAAGCGGCATGTTTGCAAAAAGCTGGGCATCGTTCAATTGGGGGTCAGGAACTATCCGGAAACGCAGATCGCCGTGCACAGGACTCCGGAGCTGCTTGATGTAGAGATTGCGCACGCTGCGCCCCAGTCCACGTGGATAGGCCCTTGATGAGGGGCAGTGGGAAAGGCTTCATGGAAGTTTCAAGTTTCAAGTCAGCAAATTTGAGGTGTCCGCAAATTGCGGTTTTAGGCTCCCAAAAGACATGTTTCCGGACACCTCAATCCACAGGGCTTTGATTCGTGGGTCTCAACTGTTGGTGGTGATTAGCAGCCAAGTTACTGTGAAGCTTTGAGGGCCTTCTTGTCTCCAACAAATCTTGAACGACCTTCACGGTCAACGTACTTACCTAGGCCCAGCTATGAACAAAACCCAATGCATGACTTGATCTAGATCAAGTGTCACTTTACGGTTCTCAAACAAGCTACGTGATGTCGATAGCTTGGTTCTTTTTTCACGCTCAGCTTTCGAGAGCTTGCCTTTGTTCAAATCCCCCATCGAGCTCAAGTTTCCCATGAACATTGTCCGCTTTGGTGACTGAGCCCCGTGAAGAGCCATCCAGAAGAAGACTTCAAAGACCTGCCGGGTATAGAAGAACGACCCCGTACTTGCCAATAAGGTTCTATATACATGGCAGGCATGACTTCCTTTAAACCATCATGCATGCATCCTAGGCACATAGCTGACCCGATTGGCTAAATATTGCCATCTCTTGTGCATGTACAATAGCGATTGCGACGGCTGCTCCACAAGGTAGTAGCAGTTCCGACTCAAAATCAGAAGAATGCACAATACCATCCTCGAAGTAGAGGACCCTTTCCACCAGTCCGACCCAGATCTATCTAGCAGAGAACAACATGAAAGGGCCCTAAGCAAAAAGTTGACTGATCTTTAACTCTAGGGTCCGACTCACCATTTGATTTGCACGTTTCACAAAGGTGTACGGTTCGTGCCCTTCTGGGTTGATAAAGCTGCGACACGAGGTGGATCGTGCTGGCAACCCCCAACTCCCGCAGTCCGGTGCCCAGAGTGTCAGGGCGTGGCGCTGCTGGTTCAAGATCGTGTACACTGTCAGCCTGGGAGCGCGGGGCCCAAGATCACCGGAAAAGGGAAGATTAAAACAAATCAAGACTGCATCCGCCACCTAGAAGCAAAAAACCGTTGGCATCTAAGAAGTTCATATGCTTCTCGGTGTAGGTCAGGTCAATGGACGCTACTTTATAGCCATGCTCGTGCCTCGATCAAACATTGATACTGCATGAAGTCTGCATGAAAGATATAGCTAGACTTACGTGTTACTAGAAATTCATCACCGTGCACATGCAGCTAGG